ACGGTAAAATAGAAGTCTATTTGCAGCAAGCTTTATTTCTTAGGGTATTTAAAAAAAATGCTGTAGTGCACGCTTTATAAAACTTACAGATGTTGAAATATAAACGGTGGGACTAGGCTCTTTCCAGGGCAAGGACAAAACGCGTTTAGCTGATTGTGGGAACTGCCTGTGAACAGTTTTCCACAATTGATTGTGATCAATACCTGGAAGTTAGGTATCCCAGGACCCATCACCTGCTTAGCTCCCTGTGTGGGTTAAACCAATGTGGAGAGCGTCAGACAGAGAAAACTGTGTGTGTGTTTATGGGGTTCTAGCCTGCATGACATATAAACCTTTAATTCTCCGTTGCAAAGCAGCACACCTAATGTGTACTGGTCATGAAGAGGTGGCTGGATGCATGAAAAGATGCTTGCTCCGGGTTTTGCACTGCCACTTGTTGTCTACGGGTCTGGCCTGAGCTGCCTAACCACCCTGGCCTCAGCTTCCACATCCGCGGAATGGGTCTAAGCCTCGCATCTCTTCTCACAGAGGAGACAGTCTGTGCACGGGCACTTTGTGAAGTGTCACGCACCTCATGAGTGTGATGTGTCTGATTGTCGGCAGTGCCATCATCTCTTTGGGGCAGCCTCCTGGGCGCTCGCTAAATCTCAGCAGTCTGAGTGGTGCTCACTCAGTCCCAGGAGATCAAGGGTACGGGCGTGAGAAGCCTGAGTCCAGCACTCGCTTCTCACCCACAGACATTCACACTCACGCACGTGGACGGTCTCACACGCACACAGGCGTTCCCAGGTAGATGTGTCGCTTGCAGAATAAAATGAGCTTTCTCACGGAAAGGAGGGTGTCCCAGGGATACTCTTGGAAGTGAAAGATGGTGTGTTGCCTGCCTTCCCCAAAGTGGAGGCTGGAAGCTTACAATAAGTTCCATCACAAAGGAGCTAAGCGCACACAGCAGGCAGCGCATCCTTCTGATAAGGAAATACGGTCTGTTAAAGAACCCAGCCCCGAGGCCAGGGCAGGGGTCATTCACGAAGTTCTGTGGATTTCCTATTGTGAACCATGAGGCCAAAGATGGTGGAAGTGAGGACTATTTCTAAGGACCTGGGGTGCAGTGAAAGTGGGTGACCTTCCTGCACTCTGAACAATAAAGGCTGGAGGAGGGCGGCTCTGTAAGATCCTGGTAAGCAGTCTTTCTGCCACCTGCATTACGGTTATAGCTGAGAAAATAAGCCCTAGCAAATTCTAGAAATAAGTAGCCTTCGGAGGAAAACAATATCTTGCCATAAGTTCAGAATTTTAATTATTTGATTCATTTATTTTAAAATAAATGTAACCAGGTTAAAAAAAAAGGTTTATGGTCTATACGGTTAAAATTCCTCTGTGTCTACGGTGGATATGTGCTGAGAGACTACAGAACAAACAAGAGCATATTCTAAAGGGCAGAGAACCAAAAAGTAGGACCCCTATCGCTCCCCCATGATGATTAAATCAAAGTTCGAACATCAAGAAGTAAAGATGAACCAGGGATCTACGACTCCTTTTCCTGCAAGGAGTTATACTAATGACATGAATCGTGGTATTATAAGATAAAGATACGAATAATAAGGAGGTATCTAAATTTGGCCAACCAAAGTATAAATGGAAGCCAATCTGGGGGCCCATTTTTAGAGCTAATTGCCTCTGATTGAAATCAGTTTTGATTTGGCTTAAATTGGTTACTGAGATGGCTAAAACACCTACATCATGCCCATGTCTGCAAGTGATCAGGCATCTGGAAGCAGGAAAGAGAACTCCTGGCTGGGAGGATGTGATTTCTCAAAAAAAAAAAAAAAAAAAAAAAAAAAGGCTGATAAGTTCTTTCAATTTGCAAGTTCTTTCAAGTTGCTACTTTCAGGTAATCTTAGCGAGTGAAATTTAAGAGAAGAAACTTCCCTTCTGAATCAGAGCCCACCGTAGGCAGAGTTCTCGCCGAAAAAATCGCTTTACTTTGAGCACTTTTATTCTTTGTTTCTTTTGACCTGAGGTCTCAGCCAGTGCCAGGGCCAGGGATCCTCACAGCATCGCGAGGCAGGCTCTTGGAACATTTATACAACATGATAAGCATCCGCTTCGAAGGATCTGCAAGTCACGGGGCTTTCTGAACTGCGGCTATGCCTGTCTGCCTCCCGGAAGCTTGGTTTGTACCAGTGCTGTTTCCTATCTTACTTCCGAGCCCCCGAACTATGTTTTCTACATCAGATGGACTAGGGACCAGAGAAAGCAGTAGCCGCAGAGTCTGAATGACGTTCACGTACACATTAAATTTTAATAAATTTTCAGTTTACATATTGTACATAATTAGACATAAAATTATCAACTTCTTTTTAAGAAAGTCCCACATGTGTTGGTCTGGATAAGAACCGAGCAAAGTGTTATCTTAGGAAGTTTAAAAGGTTTGAGGATCCAAGACCCAGAATTTATCTGGCAAAACTCATCAGTCTGTGATCAAGGATGTCCTGTTAATGGCCAACTGTCAAAAGTCAGTGTTAGAAGTGACAAGAAGGAACATTTCCAGAAAATTCCATTTCATAGCTGATGCATAATAGAGAACATTTTTTGAGGTAATTGGGACCCACTTTCTAATATGTCTTTATGAAGAAGTAGAGATTGTGCATCGTACAATGAATAATGCGAGTTCACTCTTAATCAGGTAAAAGGCTGCTGCAAGGAGAATTGACCAAAGCTTTCAAAAACATGTGTAAAGAAAAATCTATTGAAAAGGGCAAATGCATGAATTATTCTAGAGAAAGCAGTTGTAAACCTTAAAGGGATTAATCCATGCTCCCATGCATGGGAAAGCCACCTGAGAGACCTTTGTGACTCAGACAAAAAAGTAATAGATGGAGGGGTAGCATCAATTAAGAGGCTAAAGGAAAAACTATTATAATCTATGGTTTCCTCAGTTTAGAAAGACAAACCATCAAATGAACATTGGTCCTTTAAATATTAGACTTTTTATAGTAGACATTTAATTGAAATCCCTAGTTTTGAAGATTCATTAATAAAAATGGACCATTTCAGAAAATTGGTCAAGTTTAGATTTCCTAGAAAAGGTTAACCAAAACGGGTTAACCAAAGACAAGTTTAGAAATGAGTGTGGTTTTTAGATCAGGCAAAATTAGCAAAAAGCCATTGCTCTCTGGAGGATAAGTTCTCCCATCCAGGAAGAGGCTGGAGAGGGGACCGACCACCTGGAACTGCCCTGGAGGACGGGAAGGGCAAATTGCCTCTCCCTGAAGATACTGACGGTGAGGACCAGCACCCCACCTTCCAAGATGAAATAAGAGAAGAAGAAAGTGCTGAAACTGGAGAAGTGGCAGGTCTACTTGGAACTTCAGATCAACATAAACTTCTAAGCCCAGAGTCAAGGGATGCAAACCAGCGGAAACTAGACCTCTCAGAAAACTGTTCTGGTCTCTGGGGCCCTTGACACACTGACCAGTTAGAAGCAATACTAGATACAAGGTGTGCAATGGCTGTTTTCTTGTTTACAGCTTGCCTGGTGGAACTGGAGATATGCCAAACTTTGCAAAGTATTCCTCATCAAGAAATTCAAAGGAAAGTTGCCATGTTCTGATGTGTTGGCCAAGTTCCAAGCGCAGTTAATCATGTTTTCACCATGAGGGAAATATGGTTTCAAGCCATGAAAAAAGATGCCTTAACAAAGTGGATTGAGTTGTTCTTGCTAATTCTGTCCGTTTTGAGGTTCTGAAAGCTATTTGTCCATTACGCACTGCGTGGATGGTGCTACAGACTTTAGAGCTGTTAAGTAAGAGGATGCCCTCCAGGTGTTTACACGCCATGAAGAAAACTCCAAGAGTCTCGTGACGAAAGGGCTAGTTCAGGAGGTCACTGAACATGAGCAGGTGATCTATGGCGCTAGGGCCTTGGACAGGGATCCTGCAAAAAATGACACGGTGTGAAACAGAACCTACGCTCTGTGACAGCCCTGGTCTACTGCTGCGGGATCGGGAGCGGGGTAGGGTCCTGGGAAGGAATCAAAGAGGTCTGGAAACGGCGTTTTCTCCACGTGGGCAATGAAACTGTTTCCAAGCGGTGGAAGCCAAGCGATTTGACATGATGATATTTATAACATGCCAGGTAATTAAAAACAATTATTTTGGGCTCTTGGTTCTCATTATTCTTTGGAACTCTCTTTCAGGTATTGACCCTCTTTCCTTACATACCACTGAATGTCTACTCTGACTAGTAGCAAAGGTTTTACTATGCTTTCCATCACTTGTACTGACTTCTTCCAAAACTTCTCTAGGAAGGGAATATGTTCATTATATATATACCCACACACACACACACACAAAGAAGAAAAACCTTAGACTGGTGGCATAATGTAGGTGACCAGATTTATGTTTAAAACATAGAAGAAATCACAGGCAGAGGGGAGAGGAGATAAACAACCAGAGCGATGTGGGGTCCGTGCCTGGTGAATGCCTGACTACACACATCACTGAGCGGAGTCACTGCTGTCCTAAAGAGTATTAACAGCTATAGCCACAGTGTGCTTAAGGAATTAGCCATTATTGTGGTGGGTTTTTGTCATTAGTGTTATTTAAATGTCCATATTTTAAATACTCATATTAACTACTGACTTTTAAAAAATCAATTTTTGACTTTTTGAATTAAAATCATTTCCTAAAAGTTTGAGTAACTCTTAAAACTTCCCTTCCATGTGCATGCACATCTGGAGAGAAAATACTTATGCTTTAGAAAATTCAAGACAGGAAGGACATGATATGAGAGAGCCAGAGATCAACGAGAGGGAGAAGGCAGAATGGACTGTCCAGAAAAGTGACTGGAGTTCTGAGGAGCCAATCCTGAGGGCCAAACTGAGGCGCTGATGTGCACAGGTGCTCCCTGAAAGACATTTTTTCCTTTCAAATGACACACCCTCTTAGTTACTACTAAGCGAACAGATTTTTAAGAGAATGATTTTCGTTAAGTCTTACTTGAGTTCTTGTGAGCTGGTGGCCAGCATGCTTCGAATGCTTTTGTCAGCCAGTGGGCAGCCCGACAGACTGTAAGACAGGCCAGAAGAGGCAGGTGAGTAGGCCCTCTAGCCGGCTGGAGCTCCCGAACAGACACAACATAACGTCGAAATTAAAAAGTCAATGCAGAAAAGCGATGGGGGCAAGTGCTGTATATTGAATTGTTTTGTATAATTAACTCTGCATATGTTTACATATAAATTTAAGAAAGCAGGTCTGTTAATAAACAATTTTTAGAAAGTAAGATGAGAATATTTGTGCTTTTTGGTTTAAATGTGAAGAATTTTCCAAATTCAGGTAGTTTATTTAAAAATAAAAGACATTATACAACACACAGATCAGCATGCTTTTAAAGGTCAACGTACAGCACTCAAAGGGTTGACACATAATTCAACGTTTTTACTTTGACAGCATTGTTGAGGTAAGCTGAAAACAATAAATTGAAAAGACAGAATCCACCATGAGAAAAATGAAGTCACACCTTCTATGTGAGGCGTAATTACCAGTCACATGACCACTCCCATCACACCTTGGTGTTGGACATCTGCCACCAAACAAAAACAAAAACAGCCAAAATAGTAAGTATGTTTAAAAAAAAAGACTTTTAAAAAAGTTTCATTGTTTCCAGTTTAGCTGCAATGTCTGCAAGGGGACTTAAGCACCCTAAAGAAAAGCTGCAAAATGCACAGAATTAAATGAAAATGACGTCTCCATAGCACAGAGCATCGTTAGGAACAAGCGAGTCCACGGCTGGCTTCTCACTCTACTCAACTGGCAGTTTGAGACATTTATATGCTGCGAATGTCGCATGCTCAAACGGCAAGGCATATGCAGATCCGGTTTTTAATAATAAGCCAGAGAAAGGGAAAGTTAGGAAGAGTAAGAATTTCACCTCCCATTATGCTTACGTTATTAAGTCCTTTTTGCTCTCCTTGCACTGGGGGTACTTGGGTTTGGGGCTCGGGATGGTCACCTCCCCTGGATACCTTCTTTCTTCCAGAGCTTCCTGGAAGGGATCCAGGTCTTCCGGCTGCAGGCAAAAGACAGCTTCAGGGCCACGCAGAGGAGGGTTCAGCACACAGACCACAGACCCGGCCCGGCCCGGAGGTGGCCGCCTCTGCACTGGCCACCTCTCCCGACTACACCTTTAAAATCGTCACCTACCTTGGTCCTGACAGGCCCCTTCTGAAAATGCAGACTGAACTTTGTTCAAAGATTCTCTCTCCCTTCTATGGGGGATCTCAGTTTCTCATCGACTGCTCTAAGCTTCAAAGGTCTAGTAACCTGCAGTGGGCAGGGCCTTATTCGATATTCTGTTGGCTGTACTCACAGATAAAGGTCTGGCAACCAGAGACTGCTTCTAACTCAGTCTTTCTCCTTCAGCGTTCAGTAAATACCTGTTTGTGTATTGCGGCCAATATGACACTTTTCTCAACAGTGACCTGCAAAGTTAGAGCACTATACCTAAAGATATTTTAGAGTGAGGTGTTTACTAATCACTGGTGAGAATTCTACATATGTGCTGTAAGTCCCAGGGCAGGGGAAGGCCAGCTTAGATTAATGCTGTAATTTAAAATTATTGCTTTGCAGCATTTTCTTTTTCATGCAAAGTATTTCCCTTGCTAAGTGGGTTCAATTGCAGTAACCCAGAAATTCCTGCAGATGGCAATGTTCAGCAGACGTGTTTCATGAGTACTGGGACAGTGGTTTTTACTTCTGTCACAATCTCTATGATGAAAATACTTCTGTCGATTTATGAGGGCTTAATTTTAATTAAAATAAATTTGGATATTCAGCTGCCATGCCTTATCTCATAGTAACTATTTAACAATGTAGGAGAGAAAAATAATTTGGAATTTAGCTTGCCACTCAGATTCTATTCTCTATCACAGTGCCTAGACACTGAAGTCAGCTTGAAGAATAAAGATAACAGGCTTTAAGAGGTAATGGCCTTATTAACAGGTGCCTTCCCTGACAATTCCTCCAAGTAGCTAACGTTTCCCTTTTTCTCCACATCCTTGTTTCAGTAAGATGCTGTTGCTTTGATGGTGGTCTCCCCATTGTATTCAAAAAGAATTTCCATTTTTGAGTGAATAAAGAAGGTGTCCTAATTTTCACAACTGAACACTGGAGGAAAAAAGTCAGTCCAATACAGAACAAGTTTTTCTTCTTTTCTTTTCTTAACATAAATGATACTATAATTATTTTAATAATGTGAATTTGAAAATTGTAACTACTTCAAAAATATGTTCTCGACATAGGTGTTTTGGTAATATTATTGTCAACAAAGAGTTGAGTGACTGTACTGGGATGGTTTATCCAAGGCTGAGGGCACTTTTCTGAACATTTTAGGTTTCTTAGCACTGTCCTTAGCTTCAAAGAGCTAGCTGATTAGTAGCTCACAGTTGACCATTTAAGTAGTTAAGACTCTCATTATAATTTCCTACCTGCAAGGAAAATCCTGAATTATATCAAAATGTCACCCAGAAAAACGAACTGGTGTGCTATTAACACATTTTCTCAGAGAAAGGGTAACAAACACACTTGTTAGAAAACACAAATCATCATTTAAAAGAGCCAGTGGTTTGTTTTACCAAATCCGTGTTAGTCACAAGTCTCTCCTGGGTCAACAAAAAACATATTCTAAGCCCTAGTCATCTAAAGGTCTTATTTGAAGAGAAAAGACGTTTTCTCTTATGGTGTGTGCTAAGGGCATTCTCTCCCAGCTGACGCCCAGCCTTAAATTCGGAGTGGACAGAGATAGGTCAATGAAAAGGACATACAGTAATCTCTTTGGGATCATCCTCATCTATCCTCCGGGGTTTCATTTTGGTGTAGTCTACTGGCAAGTCCCAGCAGTCCCCCTCGCTCAGCTGGAAACACCGACTGTTCATCACCGCCTGCTGCTGCGGGGACATGGGCTCCAGGGGGGTCAGAATGGGGCAGCAGCCTTCTCGTGGCCTCTGCTTGTTCATGCTGAGGTCCAGAGTGCCGTTCTCATCCACTTCCATGTCAGGGTTCTGTGGGACAGAGAGACAGGGTGACTGGTCGATGGCATCCCCAAGGCCACAGCCCTGCCTTCAGGCAGAACAGAATCCAGACGCCACACTCTCATTGACACAAGCCCCCGGGGTGAGCAGAAGTCATCCCTCCGTCCATTTCTGCCATCCTGTGCTTAGCTGCGAGACAGGCACTGTCTACTAATCATGTATCATCTGTCTATCATCTGTCGTCTGTCTCTTTTCTATTTACTTATCTATCACTTTTCTATCAGCTATCTGTCCTTTATCTATCATCAATCTTTATCTTCTTTTTTACCCCCAACACATCTATGCTTTTAGAAATAAGCCTGGCCAGAAGAAAATCAAACAAGTGCTGAATTTGAATTCTATTCCAGTTCAAATATGTCTTAAGAGATCAGCAATACATGCATGTGTCTGTGTAAAAAATACATAGATATAGGTTTAAAAAGGTATATATACTTAAAAATTCCCCTTCAGTTTCATTGATGCTAACACTTCAAGGCTTGGAGAGGAGGAAAATAAAAGAAGTAGAGGGATGGAGGGAGGAAGGAGAAGGAACCAGAATTTACTTTCTAATACAAAATCCTGTGATGAAGAGAATTTCCATTTCAAGAGAGACATCTCCATCTGTCTGCCACTGCAGTTCAGAATGCCCTACTGCAGTGGCTGTGGTCTGACCACTCCGCATTTCAGCAAACCTGCAACTTAGTCAACTGGCTTAGAAAAAACAAAGAGGTACAGGGCAAGGCTTTGTTTTGAGTGATGCTTGGAAATAGATCAAGAATTCTTCGGAGCTTCCCTCTCAGGAAGAGGGAGAAAAGGAGGGCCATGTGGAGGACAGAGGAAGAAAAATCAAAACACCCCTAACAAGCCTCCATTTTTTCCCAGAGAGTTACACTCTCTTGAGCAGAAATCTGATTTCCGAGCTGGCCTGTAAGCGGCTGCCTCCTTAAATGTTTAGCAGCTCCTGCCTCTGGATGTAACAACGGAGGGAGGATGCCTGGAATGAAAATCCCATCCTTGGGGCTGTTACCTTGATAAATTATAGAGTATTATTCTGCCTGAACTCTTTTTGTCAAAGTGCCCTCCTGATTTCAAGCTTTCATACTAATTTAGCCTTAATCATGTTGGATTTAATTCTCTCAGTCTTAGTTTAATTTTAATAACGTGAAAAAAATTGGAAGAGGTTACTGTCTTTTTTTTCTTGCCACAGAATCTCTTCCATGCTAGCCTTGCATTTAGCAACCCTGATCACCAGGGAAATCGCATGCCCCTGACGCTTCTCCTAAATCTAGGAATAAAAATATTAATAGAAAAGAAAGCATTTGCAAAATATAAAATTACTGACCTTTCTCCATTCATATAAATTACAATTATTTATAACAACTACTGTCAGGGTTGTGAGCTCATGGTGCATGGCCGAGCAGCTTTAGGTAATGGAGAGAGACCCTTTGTTTTCTGGAGAGGAGGTGACCGACCACGTCTGCCTGCTCACTTGTCCTCTGAGAACACAATGCGCCGCGCGGGCACCGCCTGCGTCTCCAGGCCACCTAGTGGCCTTGCAAGGCAACTCTTGGAGCTCCCTGCTGCAGCCTGAAGGGTTCTCTCTCTCCTGCTCTCAGCACAAGTAGTCAGTCCACTGACAAGAAAATCAAAATGATAAAACCCCCGTAAATATTGCATACGTTTAGCATCTGCGATGTTTCTGAACTAATGAAATCTGGCTGTAACTGCATGACTAAGCAGTCCGTGTGCAAATCGGATTTTTACTTTCTTTGTTTCCTTGTATTCTGGGTGGCCTACTGGGAGCGCTCGTAGGGGGACAGTCCTGCGTTTTACTTGACAACAGAGCTACACAACCCTCCTTATGCTTACTGTTCAAGGCACATTACTTCTTTAGTTCTCTACACTCTGTGCAGCCATTTCAAAATACATGAGGGTCTGTGGTGTGCTTTGTTTACAGAAATGATTCTGGATCCTAAGGAGGAGGGTCCATTTACACACGTCAATCTGAAAGACCTGACCATTTCTCCTGGTTTAGAACACAAGTCCTCTTTGGACCATGTGCTGTTAAGGCTCCTCTAAGAAAAGCTTCAACTAGAAAGACGCTTTGTGAGATGAAGTCTTTGCTGAGGGCAGGTGCAAAGTGAAGCAGCCTTTGGGGCACAGGCTGCTGCTCTGGGCATGTCTCTAGGTGGCCGGCGTGACCTCAGGGGGGACGTACTCCAGCCCCGCCTCCCCCGGCCCGCCAGGTGGGGCCACCTGCCAAGTGTGCGTACCCGCGCAGTGCACAGGTCCTGCGGCTTGGTGGACAGGTTCTGCGGCATCTCGCGGCAGCGGGTAGACAGGTTGAGGATGGCCGTGGCTGCCATGTGGGCTGCCTCCATGTCGTGCGTGTAGTCGAAGCTGCTCTTGCTGCATGTGCTGCTGGCACTGCTGCCGCCGCCGCAGCTGAGGTTGCTGCTGCTGCTGGGCGCGTAGCTGCTCGTGGTGCTGCTGCTGGGGCTGGCGTTCTTGCAGTACCGCTTCGCTGGGGAGACACGGGGACAGGGATGACTCGGGTCCCCGCCGCCCAGGGCAACAGCAGACAGAAGGGCAGCGCCCGGCAGTGCCCCGCCACCCGCGCCCCTCCCGCCAGCCTTGTAGGTAACACACAGTATCAAGGGGGCACAGACTGATTCGTAAGGGAAAAGAAACCATCTGGCTTTTTCCCCTTTTAATGTTGCATGTCATTGAAGGAGTGGTGTTGGGGATGAGCAGGATGAGAATATGCCTCCGTCTCTTGCACAGGCTGCACGTGGCATACATTACGTCATCTGTTTAAAGGCACACACCTGGTTAGGACTCAGCCACCAGGATTTCAGGAAGTGACCAGGCACCAGCCTGGCCAAGGCCCGAGGAGGGATGCTCCCCGTCATGACAGCGCATCACCTCCCTGGGTGACGGGGGCCCCACAGACCCCCCACCCCTCAAGAGACCAGCTGCTCCTTCCAGCCAGAAGGGGCCACAGCGCCAGTGGGGGCTCACTGTCCTGTGTGCACCTGACCCAGTCACCTGCAGGACCTGGGGAACCTGAACTTTGGGAGGTGGCATTTGGGCCGGGGGTGCAGACCAATGTGACTGAAACACCCTTTTCCTCAAGAAAAGTCTTATCCTACGATTCCAGTAAAGAGCCACATGGTAAAGGGTGCCAGCAAAGGGGTGAGAATGGCACCCCACCGTGGATGTGGACAAGCCCAGATAAACACAAACACGGCAGAGTGGCTGCTCAGTGATGTGCAGGCGCACAGGCAGTCACATATGGGCCACACACTGGCCCACCTGTTTTATCGGAATGGCCTCCATGTCCCTTGCATGGACCTTCACTCACAGGATTCCTTTCTGAGCAACCAGTGTCACTAACAGCCAACCAGGTACTTAGGAGCAAGTGTTGTTTCTTAGGGCTGTTTAAAAATGCCCTTTAGCACACACGGATGAGAAGATGATGGATGGACGATTGACTAGCATGGGCCCGATTACCATTGCCAGGGTCATTAAAGTCACAGGATGTCCATTTGCTCAGGGGTCAGATGTCTCACTATGATCCCGTGGAGTGAGGAATTACTCAAAGGTGAACCTAGAGGGCGCCAGGAGATCCACCACCAAACATCTCCCTCCGCGTGTCTTAAACCCTCCGTCACCGGGCCACGGCTTCCAGGAAGCACACACCTCTCTCAGCCTTCTTCCCAAAGCACGGTTCAGCCGACTTCCCCATGTGAGCAGGAGGTGCAGCGGGAGAACTTGGTGATGGGGGCAGATGGGGCTCCAGCTGCGCCTACGGCTACCTGGTCCTCACGGGCAAACCTCATCTAGGTAATTCTGGTGGGAACCAGGGTTGTCCCTTGCTGAACACAGGCAGGGAGGGATCCCGGAGCCTGCTGCTGCTCTCTCAGTGTCTCCAACATTGCCATCAACAGTCTGTAACCAGAGCATCCCCCCTCAGGACTCACATGGCGCTTCCCTCCCAATGGGAAGAAGCAAACCACACTGAACTAAATAACAAACCTCACGGCCGACAGGGTCCGTCACCATGAGAAGCACCAAGAAATCAGCCCCAAGCGCCTTATTCAGATACAAGTGAAAAAAGAACCAACTTTCCTCGTCAGTGACTTTCGACTTTGGACTGAAGACTGAGCTTCCCTGACATTGAAGATGAGGTTCATCGTTGCCACCTTGCCGAGCGGCGATGCTCTGAGAGCACAGGCAGCCTCAGGGGAGCGGTCGAGCGCCCGGCCTTGTCACAGTCCCTGCTGAAAGCCACAAAGCCACTACACAAGCAGGTAACTGTCCAGAGCCAGGTTCCCTCAAATGGACCAGAGGCTCAGTTCCACAAACTCGACCCACCGAACACGAGGAGGGACTTGCAAGTAAGTTACTTCTATTCTGCTGACCCGAGTGAGCTCAGCCATGAGGACCACACACCACACCCGTTAGCGCGTCTGGTGATGTGTCCTTCCCTCCTCTCTCCTCTGCACGTGCCTCGTCTAAACAGCAGAGGGCACGGCGTGGGGGGCAATGGTCTCGTGTCTGAGCACAGAGCTGGTGGGGCTGCTAAGGGAGTAGTCAAAGGGGCCGACAAAGACCTACCTTGGGAGGCAGCCCCTGGGACCTACCCTGTGGGTGCGTAAACCACAGTGAGGCAGGAAAGCCAATTTGCAGGTCATGATACTCCCCATAAGGACTAAAGTTCATGGTTTTACATTGTGTAGAATTTTGTCATAAAAATAGGAATACAAAAATTGTGAAAGAAATGAAATAATACTTATGAGTGTTTTTTCCCCCTCGTAGTGGCTAGCTGCTGGTTCAGGAAAGAAAATAAAAGTTTTGTTTTGAAATGAGTAAATTTCAATTTCTAACAGAAAGTAAGCAGAACGACAAGTGTCTATGCAACAAGTTGCAGCAAACTTTTGGTAAAGTGCATTGACTCTGTCAAATATTTAAACCCTGAGGTGCTCCTTCTCCTGCATCCTGCCACATTGCTAGGACTGGGGCAGAACAGGTGATTGAACTGTGGATGATTTGCTGGTGGGTCTGTCAGCTCACATGATCCAGGAGAAGCAACTAGGACAATACGCATTTCAGATGCATCCTTTCTCTAAATGCAATTAATCATTTTTCGTTTTGTTCAAAACAAAGAGTCCCTCTATTTCAAATTTTCCAGGTAATGAAGGTCTTTGGTCCTCATAATCATTGCCTATTTGTAAAATGCTTGCAAAACCTTCTGTGTCAGTGATCTGTAACCACTCTCAGGGTTTCTCAGACTCACTGAGCCGGCAGCGGGGGTGCCACCGAGCAGGCAGGGCCTCGGGAGGGTGGCTGCCCCTCACTCAAAGGCCACTCTTGTCCCCTCTCCTCCCTCCTGAGGGAGCCCCCACTTTGTCAGGTGGGAGCACTTTAACCACAACAAATGCACTTTCTTTTCCTTTTGGCAAACAAAGCTATTTTCAATCAAATCATTTTCTAATCAACCGGCAGACAAGAACCTGTGAATGTCCTTCTGGTGCCAGCGTATCACGGGAAGTTATGAGATACAATTGCTTTCACTCTGGAGCCCACCAGGGACTTGACAACATCAGCCCACCAGATCTCACACTGTACTAGGAAACACCTCTTCAAGTATTCCACCCTTCTTGCAGGAAACAGAAAAACCACACGGGATTTGTAGTGATTAAACACGACCAACAAAACAAAAACAAAACCAAACTCCTTCCGACCAGAAGCTTTTATTAACCTTCTCCACCCATAAGAGTCTCCCTAAACGTGTTTCTCATCCCCTTAGAAATGTCCACTTTCTTACATATTAGAATTTCCTATAGGGAACAGATGAATGGGTCCTTACAATCTGAATTTCCTTGAAAATCAGACAGAAAGGAATACAGTCCAAAGACAAGCGTCATGAGGAGTTATCCCGCTGCGCAGGCCTGGCACCGTCACGCAGGCCTGTCTGCCTTGATTCAGACCTTCACATGCAGTAATTCACAGCACCGACTCTCACAGTTTTCATGTAGGCTCGTGTTTGTGCTTTATCATAAATAAATTGAAATATAGACTCAGAATCCTAAGAAAAGAAAGGAGCTTTCTTGTAAGGATATCCTGTTAGATGCCACCTGCAATGACAATAGTTTACTCAACGTTTAACATATCAAGTCCAAGTTAAGGATTCCTGGTTTGCCTCTCTCACTCACTCGATCAGCTAGTATTCTTTACATGGCTGCTGTCTGTCTGGCCAGCACTGGCGCTGTGGGGTTTGGATCTGAAGACAAGGCCTCTTGCCCACCAGGAGCTTAGAGTCCAGTGGGACAGAGGACACATGAAATTACCAAGGACGAGACCCAGACCTGCATGTGGGGCAGGGCAGGGGCATCATGTTCTACATGAGCAATACTGTGAGGTCACTTCCCAGGAGGGCCGCCAAATGTAGGCTGGGGATTTGTCAGAGGTGCTTCTGGAAGCAGGTGCCAAATGCAGGAGAGCTCATGGTCAGGTGGAGAGGAGGAGGGTGGGCTTTGCAGGGAGAGGCTGGCAAGAGGGGCAGGGGTGTGCGTGGCTGCGAGACCCTATGCTAAGGAATTAATCCTGGAAGGTGACAGGATGGCAGCCTGGGAAAGGCTTCAGGAGGCAGTGCTGGCAGACTCGCCTGGCGAGGGGCCCGGACAAGGGTAGGGGCAGGGGAAGGAGAGGTTGGGCTTGTCAGGGTGGCATAGCGTTTGAGGACAGAAAAGAGGGAGTTCAAAGACCATCGAAAAGATTTAAGCTCAGGAGAATTCAGAAGTGGGGAGTAACCAAAAGGGAGCCTTGTGAGAGGGAGCCCACTTGGAGGCTGGGAACTTCCAGGTTTTAAACAAACCCTCGGGGTGCTGACAAACTGCCCAGAGACACAAGCAGGGATGTCTCAGACCAGAGGTCAGCAATTTCTGGTCGTTTCGGTGGTCGCTGTCACGCTGCTCAGCTCTGCCATTGTTAAGTGAAAGCAGCCACTAACCATGTGACTGAGGGTGGCCATGTGCCACTTCACCTATGGACACCGAAATTTGAATTTTACATAATTTTGTTTTTCTTTTGTTTTTTTTTTCTAACTATTTAAAAAAGCAAGGGCCATTCTGAGCTCACCATAAAAAACAGGCCATGGGGAGATAGGGGGGAGAGGCAGGCCCAATGCTCCTGGGAGAGCGCAGGGCCAAGACACACGTGGGGTAATCCTCTGCTCTTTCCCACCGTCCCCTCCTTCGTCATCTCCTGCACATGGATATCCACGTCCTACAGGAGAGCGCCCAACTCCTCAGTGTGGCAGATGCTGCAAAGCCGTTTCCTCATCATCTCCATAGATGTGCCCTGTCCTTCCTCTCATGCGTCCCAAGTCCAGCCTCACCAGCCCACTGGCAGCTCCCACGAACCCATGGGTTTCCTGCCATTACATAATTTCTCCTCACGCTTCACGATCAAGTTTAAAATTTGCCGCTTTGGTAGAGCTTGTGCTATTCCCTCCAGGCAGAATGCGTTCCTTCCTTGTGCACAGTAGCTCTCTCACTGTCTTCTATTTATTCGCAATCTCTTCTTTGAAACTTGTTATCAAGAGAGAAAGAATAGATAGATAGATGACAGACAGATGGATGGGTGGATAGACAGATGGGTGGATGGATAGATAGCATGGATACATAGATAGAAGAATGAATAGACAGACAGACAGACAGATAGAAACTAGTATGTCTGGAAGGATGCAGGTGGTTAAATCGATGTTTGATCACAACTATGATCAACCTGATAACAGTTGGTGAGATGTAGGGATGATATCCAGAGACTAGGGAGGTGGGTCCCACTCCTCTCCCCCATTCTGCATCTCCAGGGCCCTGCTCCTTGCTCCCAAGCATTATGCTTCTCCCCAGCAACAGGCTCACTTCACTGTCTTTCTTTAGGAGCAACGATTCAATTCCTTGTGCACCTGAAGCAAGGATGCTCTTGGAGGTGACTGCAGAGTGCAATCACTCTGGTATCTATCACCCAGTACTCAGTCACAGAAATGGCTCCTCTCAGCTTACACCCTATCAAGAAACCTGACCTAGCCAGTCTCATCCTTAGTGGGCACTTTCCATGATGTTTTAAAAATCTGTCAGATGAATATAGTGGAAGAGAAATGGAGTCATCAATTTTCTTCTCAACATATTGTGGTACAAGGCTGCTTTTCTTAGTTTCTTGAAGACCCACTCTTGAAGTTTCGGTTCTATATTCTTATTTTGTCGTGGGTCAGCTGAAGAGCATGGCTCTGCCTAAATTTCCCACAACAGGTATTTTTTCTGGGCGGGTGAGAACTAATGCCAATGATGCCCGTGTGTTTGGTCACCTCCTCACAGCTGTCCACTCACCCTCGCAACAGCCCTCGGAGGCAGCAGGGCAGACACGGCCACTGCTCCTCTGCTCTCGAGGAGACTAACGCACGAAAGATTGATTTGTCCAATATCATACAGCTCCTAAACGGAAGAGCTGAGAAGAGACCCGAGGTGGTTTGATTTCTAATCCACTACAGGGCAATTGTGACCATGAAGACGTGCTCTCCTGGTCACAACGTCACCCAGAGGCTGACCACAACAGCAAGCTTGAGCAAAATCAGGCCTCACAGAACAACAGCAATGAATAGATGTGTGAAAATGAACACCAGTGAAAGTCCTCATCAGATCACTGTGACATGTCATTGAACCGGAAATCATGTGAGCAGAATCCTTAATTACGCAGATTCCATTTCTTTTGATCCTTCATTTGCAATCGGATGAATGAAATTATAACAAAATCTGAAATTGGCAAATTATTATTACAAAATAAACAAAAGGAAAATAATTATTTTCTGTTATACCCTAAGTCACTCCCTTTCTTCCATTTTTCCTGTATATTAAGAATTGATATGCACAAGGATAATCCATATGTGATGCATCCAAGAAATATTAAATTTCATTCACTATACAAATTAATTGTTATTAAGGCAACGAATGACTAACACAACTTAGAAAGATGTGTAGCAACTCACGTTGCGTGGTAAAAAGGTTTCAGAACTCCCCAGGCATTCAATTCAAAACAATTATTTTGAGAGCTGTGATTTTAAGTAAATATCTTTTTCAGACAGGAACTCGAAGATCTTTAAAAACCTGTCCCTTTGCCTGAGCTAGAGAACACCAAGACAAGACTTTCAAATCACCAAAACTTATACAACTCACATCACAACTGGTAAAATTTGCCAACTAAGTCACATCTCCTAGAATTTAAAGCAGAAACGTGGTTAGATAAATAAGTACAATCAGAGACATGCAGGCTTCCCCTCGGTTGTTCAGTGACTTACCAAGTTAGCTGTGTGATGAAATGGAAACTACTTTACACCACTGGCAGTGGGCTCAAACTCATGTGAGTGAAGACGAACTATCCGTTTTCTGTGGAGCACTTAGTGTTTTATTTGTTTCATAGGTTCTGTTTTATTGTGGATGCTGTGGTAGCTATAAGTATAGCCCATAACAAAGTTATGTCACAACAGGTGGCATTCCCAGGGTCCACTCTCCAGGCAGAGAGCAGACCAGGGTCCATGCCCGCTGGAAAGAGCTGGATGACACCAGCAGAAGTTGTCTGCCCTTGGCTACACGTTAGAATCACTGGTAACTTTTAAAAAATGCCACCCACCGCACAAGGAATACCCCCAGGGGTTCTGGTTTAATTGGTCTGGGGAGCAGCCTGGGCATTAGAGCTTTTTAAACCTCCCCAGTTGAATGTAATGTGCATCCAAGGTGGAGAACACTGAGGAAATGCAGAGCTTCTCAAAAAAGCCAAGAACTCTGGCGTGCTACCACTGGCTCTCCTGGTTTTATCTGTGTTGGGGCCATCTGTTAAAGGAAGTTTATAAAGATAAGAACACTGTCTTAGCAACAGCATGAAGAGGATGAGCCAACGGCTGTCTGTCCCCATATTCTGCAAGCGGCCAGAACATGTTGCTTTGGAAGTACTGCGGGAAGAGCATTTCCCTCCCTCCTCAGACTCCTGTTCCCCCGCGCCTGTGTGAACCTGGGGCTTTAAGCAAAAGAGCCTGTGCTCTGGGCTGCTTTTCTTTGGTGCCCATCAAGTGACTGCATGCTCGACCAGTTTGTAGGAAACGGGTATACACAACAACAACATCATTAACGGCAAGCGCGACTCTCATGTATAAGATTGTCACCTCCTACCATCATATCCTTTGGGGGATATGTCCCTGGTTTGCACCTTGGGAGCTATGGCCCGCTTGCCATAAGTATGGCTGTCGTAACTGTTGTATTCAAAGGAAGTCTTGGAATATTTCTCCAGCTCTTTGGCCAAGTTGGAGCGAGGCGTGGTTGTGGGGACGTTGTTTCTGTAGCCGTAGTGAGGGATCTCGAGCTGCTTTACAAAGCACATTGGCCTGGAAGCAAACAAGAAACAGTCGACAGCTTGCTTTCTTGTGGCTGTGGACAAGATATGGTTCACGTTAAAATTAGAGCATCTTGTTCCATAACTGCATTACGGAGTCAGAACCTTGCGCTAAAATCACGAATTCTATTTTCCTGAGAAAAGACCAAGTATGCTGTAATTATATAGCATCAAATATGCTATCTACCTAAATGTCAACTTTGGCAATAAAAAGAACAAAAATAAAATATTCGACTTTTCTCTCTTTTCTCTTTTCCTTTTCAGAGTTTTTGTGGGTTTGATGAAGAATGAGATATGAAGGTGGGAAAGACTCTCACTCCCATGCACTTTCTTTTGCGGAGGTTTTGAAGAGCAGGAATTATACACAATGAAGGGAGCTGATAAGAAATTTCCCTTAAAAATATGAGGAAATGAAAGAAATACTCGTAGGGACACAGACTGAGATGAAACTAGATAAAAATTTATCTGGACAATAAAATGGGACACGGAGCAACATATTTTGACAAATAGCTATACTTTCAATATTTATACTTAATAGCCACTCATTTTTCTAAACTTTGGAATAAAATATTTAAATGGAGGCGCACAATTTTTCATTCATTAATATTCTAGCTTGTTTTGTGTATGTGTGTGCATCTATTTATCTATCTCCTAGGTGGAAATTTTAACCTTTTTTTGGGAATAATTTTAGACTTACGGAAAAGCTGTAACCGAGGGTTTCCTTAAACTCTCACCAACTTCCCTCATGCGAACATCTTTATTGACCAAATCACCCACTCTTATTTTGATTTCATTAGTTTAGCCTATGTATTTCTTGTCAGATCAACAAAGTAATGTAATGATTAGTTAAATGTCTATTATTTGAGGCATTTTACCATATGGAGGGTGCATAAATAAATAACACCCTCGGTCTTGCCTTCAAAGATCATGTGGAATGCGACAATATTTTAAGAGTCCAAATGCAAGTAGAATTCTAGAGAAGAGAGATTCTGGCCATGAGATTCAGTTCAGTTTTCATAGACAAGGTAAAGCTTGAAGTGGGCTTTGCAGAATGGGTAAAACTGTTAAGATTAAGATCCAGAAGCAGGTGGGAAAGCATTCCAGGAAAAGAAACTACAAAGTCAAAAGGCGAGGAGCAAGGAAGCGAGGAGTATCTTTGGGGAACAGCAGGAGACCTGGGTGCTTGGGACCACATTGGGAATCTGTTCATTTGCCCAGTAGGCAAGGCCAAAGGGTTTGGGCCGGGGAAGGCATATTCTCTAAGCCTTCAAAATATTAAGGCCAGCTCAGAAGGAGGCGGACTGGAAAAAGGAATGAGGGAGAAGGCAACGCCTGATGGCAAGACAGAGGTTGTGATGAGATCCTCGAGGCAGGGTGCTGCAAAGGAGATGAAAACTTTGGACAGGACTGGAAGCGCTTACCTAAGTCTTATTCCTGTTGGACATTCTACTTAAAGACTTTTAAAATCTTAATTAGTTAAATGATTGTAGGTTGAAAAAAAGGAAAACTATTTTTCTCTTTCCTTCTTTCCTGTTTCTTTCCTTTCACTGTTGAATGAGCATCCCTTTCATGGGGACATCGTGGGGAGTATGAAGTTGCCCCGGTGGAGACCAGGCCCTCCAGACCTTGCTCATAACATGGACTTTAGTGCCTGAGGTGAGCGCTTGGGATCTGGACAACACAAAGAGCCCTGCAGGAGCGGCCAGTGCACCAGCCAGAGTTCAAGCTCCTCCTCAGAGATCCAGAAGTCCACACGACCTGGCCTGGCTCCTGGGCACTTTCTTCCATTGCAGGAGTGGCTCCTTTCCTTTTGTTAGGGGTCCTGTCCCACCTTACCCCCCCACAACCAGCCAGAGGCACGTAAAGAAAATTGTTTGTAGATGCACAATTATTGGCCCACAGTATTCTGTTTTGTTGTCATTTGATATGGTTTTCCATTACATCCGCCCAAAGAAATTCCAGACTGTGAAACCAGAGAAGCAACATAAAAGGCTGTTGTTTCAGGCTCCATATCAGAATGGAGGCTTGTGTCTAACAAGGTGATTTGCAATGACAGACGCATCTTGTCCATCTCAAGCTCCAGGGGAGCTTCTCGCTGGAATGCAAGCTTGGGACTGACCAGAGGAAGGGAGCACCACCACCCCGGTGGCTTTTCAAGAAGGGGGTGGGCCCAGGGATCTTTCTAGCTTTCTGGTCTGGCCAAAGTAGGCAAAGGAAGTTAACAAAAGCCTTCAGCCTCAATTCCTGACTTTTCTCAAAATCTCCTTTGGTTAAGAATCATCCCTTTGCAAACGTACATAGCCCAAGGGGTTTTTTAGGGAGAGTTCTCATGCTGTCAATAACTAACAGTGGGCTGAGGGAGGGCCCTCAGGGAAGTCCTATCATTACTTCGTGTCAGTCCTGTCTTCTGTGAGACGAATGAGTTACAGGCCCACTGGGGGCATGTTAGATTGGTAACCCACTCATAGAGAAATCTAGAAGAATGCACACCAAACTTTATTGAGGGTTTATCTCTGAATGGTAGGATCATAGATGATTTTTGTTTTCTTATTTTTGTCTATTTAAATATTTCTCATTTTCTATAAAGATTTTAATTTTTCTATTGAGGGATAAAAGAGAGTTTAATGACTGTGGTAAAATCCTTTCAGAAAGCTGTGAAATAATATACAACAAAACCAAAGAGGTATTCATATTGTCTGCCTAGTGATTTTTTCCAAGTGATTTATCCCAAAGAAATGATTTCACAGAAGCAAAATTGTGTGTGTGTTCTGACTGTTCTCTCTTCAATGGTAGAAGTTGGAATTAATCTACTTTCAGAGCTGGTGGCACCTCCCCACAGTAGAACATACGTTGCTATTAAGATGACAATTATGATTCTCATATAGACGTGGAAGTGTGTTTAGGGTATGACATCGACAAAAAGGCAGAAGAAACGATGATTGTCATCGTTTTCACACGGATGAGGGGTTGAAGGGCACGTGCAGAAATGGGGGTTGATGTTAGGGTTACGGGAGCGTGGATTTCTTCCTCCACTTCCTCTCCCAATAATCATTCTTTGCCACACTTAAAAAACAGTGGGTGGAACCAGGTGGTCTTCGAGGTCATTCCTGCTTTAACCTTCAGTGGTTAAGGTTTCAGGTAAGTCATTTAACCTCTCTGCACTCTGGTCTTCTCGCTTGTCAAGTGGGGATAACAACACCTCCTCTTGCCCACCTCTCAGGGTTTCTGAGGATCAAAGGACAGGCAGCTATGAAGGTTTCACACAAGGAGCCTCTGTGTACACGCAAGCTGGTGTTCCCAGCACCCTGACATTTTCAGAAACATTACCACCATCCTGCAGGTGGGTGCTATGCCCGCTCCTCCAGACTAAGATAAAATTACTTTGGGCATCTCATTAATTTTGAAAGCTTCCTTTCATCTAGAATTTGTACAATTATGAAATATCAGAGCCAGAAAGAGAGCCAGAAACAATTTCATCTGCTTCTGTCTTCTAAAAACTTACAATGGGTCAATGAAAACCCAGGGAGGTGAAGTGACCTCCCGCTCCCACATAGCGCCCAGGACGGAGCGAGAGGTGGGCTCGGGTCAGCTACCACCTTCATTCCTGTCACTAAGCATGACCATCCACCTCACCCAGTGTCCCGAGCACTTGGGCGTGCTGGGGCCTGGCTGTAGATGGGGCTCGTGGAATGACACACTGCGTGTTCGGTACCTTAGCACTCGGTCTGAGGCCTGGTTGGACTTGGACACGTCACAGCTCTGGTGTTTCTCTTGGGCCTTTGCCAGTTTCTCTGCTGCAGCAATAGGGCATCCAGAGAGGCTGGAATTACAGAAAGGGAATTTAATTGTCTCCTCAAATGGCTTCGCAGCACACTGACCCAATCCTCCCCTCCCCTCCTCTCCCTGTCAGCACGGAGAGACCCTGAGGCAGGTCCCCAAACCTGTCGCGGGCTTTCCTGATGGAATGAATTGGGAGAGGGAAAAATAACCATGTTTGCAGTTGGCATGTTTTCCTCTTGGTCTCCAGTAGACAGTGCCGATGGCCATAGTATGCATAAAGTGTACTCGGTCCTTTCCAATGACAGCAAGCCAAATTCCGTGACATTCAAGAGAACATGAGCTGGTTAAAATTTTAGACACAGATGCCATTCTGGGATGTTGACTGTTTCTGGAGACGAGGAATTAGCCGCTTGGGCAGCATGAGGTTCTAAACAGCCCAAGAAAGGCAGCTCTCTGGTTGGCACCAGAAGATGGAGCGCTAAGCAGATCCCGTGAGCACTGCTGACCGTCGTGCTTTGGCTTGTGTCTGGCCAGCTCATTTGCGTCCTCCCCAGGAAGAGAAAGGGAAGTGGAAGAGAAGCAGAATAACTTCCCCAAGTACTCTGAAATGTTTTTTTGAAATACAATTTATGGAAGACACAACAGATTGGCTCTTTTGTGTTTGAGCTTATTCTTCACGAAATCATGGTGTCTGTTCTTTGTGTATCTGTATATATATCTGCACATAGGCACAGATGCTTACTCCATGTATGTGTAATGTCTCAAAAATCAATGACTGTGCGAAGGTTTGGGGATGAAGCTGATCCTGTAAACACTGTATCGAAGAGTACCCCGCATGAGCATTCCCAGTTTACTATCATTTTTCCCCTCTGCAGATTAAGCCCAGGAATATCTCTGAAGGGCACTAGGTTGCGATTTGTTTCCATATAAGTTTGACACAAGTAGCTAAATTTACCAGTCAGACAAACAAAAATGAAAGTGAGACTCATAACGGTTTCCTCCATTTAGACATTATTTTACATGAGCTTATGAAGCTCAAACTATAGGCTACAAGACAATTCTTAACAGAATCACTTTTTGGCTACTGAAAAAAAAATCTGACAAACTGAATATTATAGGAAACTTAGTAAAAGTCAGAATACGACAGAGAAAGAGAATTGGAATTTGAAAGTGTGATTCTGAGCATGCTCATTTACAGCAATAGTCCAGGAAAAGCCTCTTTGCCTGGCACACTGTCGCGCCAAATGTTCCCCAGGCAGCACTTTAGGACATCTGCTCGTATTCTGATGATGTCCACACTGCTGACCGGGGCTTTCAGCAGAGTTTCAAGGGGACAGCAGAGTTACATCACGTACTGTGCAGTCTCACTGTGTTCTGATTCCATCCTGTAGGAGGCACATAGGACAACTCCTCCTGACCCCTCAGAGATAATGGAGCCTTTACTGCCTTCCTTTGAGTCGTTGCAAATGGTCATGGTTCCATCTTAGATATTACACCAAGGAAGGCGCCTTCCACTGGACCACTACCCCATCACGTCAAGTGAGGTAGACAGCTAAACAAATTTCATCTGCGAAAACGGGCTCTGAGCCTTTGACTTCCCCGTGCACTATGCGACAGCACTCTCCAGCCTCTGAAAGCCATATACTGAGGCCGTGTGTCTCCTGGGGCGGGAAGGAGGTGTGTGCAGGGGCGTGCACGCCCTCTGGAGGTTGTGGGAACACGGCTGTCAGGGAACTGCCTTCCCTGCAGCGCAGAACACAGGAGCGCTTTGCTTACCTTCTGTGCGAGTTCCTGTTGCTATTTACATGCCCTCGCCCTGTGCAGCCCGGAGTAGGACACTTGAGAACATTTTCATGCATGGCAAGAACTTGACAAGGAGAGGCAGAGAAAACAGCCCAGCATTAAAACATAGAAATGGTCCGAAAACAAGAATATGCAATCATTTTAACAGAGGTTGGGTTAGTTTACAACAGACAGTCCTACAAACATTTGTGATGAGCATGGTCAGGAAAATACAGGTAGGAAGAAAAAGGAGGTTGTCTCAACCTTATTCTAATTGGCATGCAAAGCAGGGTGCGTGGACGGGGAGCCATGGAGGTTGGAGCACATGATAACTGAACTGTTTCAGATGGGATTGGAAAGCAAAGGCCCCTGGTAGGTCTCCCATACATAAGCACCGAGGGTTGATTAGCCATGTAACAGCACGTAGAGTGGTAGTTCTTAAAACATGCCTATGCTTTGGAAACACACAGTGTTATGAAGGCGTGGTCATGGGTGAATAGAGAACCCCAAACCTTATTTTTAAATAAGATGAATTGAATAATGACTTTTCACCTAGGAATTAAATATTTTATTGTCTCGAGTGAGCTACAGTTCATCCTGTGAAAGTAACAAGTGGGAGACAGCACGACATGGTCTTCGTGGTGAAGGAAGATGCAAGCTACTGTCAGGAGACAGCAGTTAAATTTACCCGGCAGTGGCAATGGACTGTTGGCATACCCTCTCTTTCCTGGTCCTCAGTGAACACACCACTGCTCTGGACTGTGGGGGAAGGCTGGCAGGGGTGAGAAGTGCTGTTGGAAAGCCAAGAGAATTGGCCCCGACACTGGCACCAGCACAACTGTCTACAAACTCCATACCTGGGGACTGTTGGAGCTTTCCCTGCCAGCGAGGTTATGCCAGGCGAACATGGAAGGACCATGAAAAACAAAGCCCACCCACATTGGTCACATAATTGTATTTTCTACAATTTTCCTCCTTCTCTAAAACGATCTCTCTCTTTTCCCTGCAATCCACATGCTATTTCCATGTGACGTTATTACTTGAGTCCACTTCTTAGCTCTTCAGTCCTGGTCAGTTCCTTAAAAACTAAGTCCATTTTGGTTTCATCTTTATAGCTCTCATACCTCCTGGCTTGTCCTTACATATAGTTGATGCTCGACAAATGGTGATCAAACAATGGAGAGCCGACCTTTGGCTCGTTTTGTGTTGGGAACTGGCTGGGGAGGGGGGCGGGTTTCAGGAGGTCTCCTTCCTGGGGAATCTAGGCACAGCTCCCTGCAACTTTGCTCTCCTATCTCAGAGGAGGGAGTGTCCCCCCGCTCAGGTGAGCTCTTCAGTATGCTCTCTCACCTGTCCTTTTCTCTTTCTTTCAGGGTGTTCATTTACCTGTGTCCTTCATTCTTTATTCTTTACTATTTTCCTATCATCCTGTTATAACATTACAGAAACCCTTCTGATGACACAGCTTTTCTCTCAAATTACCATACATCTTTCCTTTCCTTTTATGCTAAACTTTTCCAATATAAAGTCCCCCTGGAGCTAACAAACACCTTCCTTGCTTGTCTATGGTATAGATCTCAAATTGATTGTGCCTCTCTCTTCTGCTAAGTGAAGACATGGACTCCTTCTTAACCATTGTCAACTGGGACCCACACATGAGATGGAATTTGTTGGCCATATTTTGTCTACACTTCCCTCTATTTCCTAAACCCCATGCATATTTCTCAAACTTCTGCATCATACATGGCTCCTATTCTTCGCTATAGTTTTCACATTTTTCTCCTAGTTGTTAACAGCAGGCTTTTTCTGCTCAATAAACTCAATGACCTCTTTACTCCCTTCTCTTAGACTTCTTTGTCCAAGATTATCTTGGACTTCTTTCTCAGCCATTCCCTTCATATGTGGGACCTTTTCAGAAGTACCATCCTCTTCTCATTCCCTCTGACTTCTCTCTTTCCGCCTCTCTCCCTCTGCTTCATCTTTCTACACACTCACCTCCAAACCTTCCTTTTTTGGCTTCTGTTTGTTCTTGCTTTATGCCTCTTCTCTGGGCAGTTTCCTTCTCAGTTTCTACCACTGCTCAGAGGGCAGATCCACATAACCACCTTGTTTTCCTGCTGCACCTGACCTTCTCCAGCTCTCCGGACCTCTCCTCCCCAAAGCCTGCTAGGAGTATCATACAGCGCTTCCAATTTAAATTGGAAAAATGCGAGTCATGAGTTCCCCAATTAGATGTGGCTCCATCTCTCAATTCTCTACATCTGTTACTGGCGTCCTCCTCCTTGCCATTGACCAGGCCAAGAATCCTGGTGTTGCCTCAGTCTCCCTCCCTTTCTCCTCTGTCTCACCTACAGTGGTCTTCAAGTCCTGCCAGCCTGTGTCTGGAATGTTTCTTGAATCTGTCCCAGCCTTTCTCTTCCCATTGCCACCGCCTCCTTCATGCCCTGATCTCTTGTGCGATCCAGTGCGGTAGCTTCTCTCTCACACAGAACCAGCTAAAGTGTGACCTCAGTGAAGCCTACGGGTCCTCGGGGGAAGTCACCATCCCTGAACTCTCGGGGGCGTGTCCACAGCGTGCTGCTGAACCACCATCACATGACGGCTGCACTTTGTCCCGTGTGCACGCCCCATTCTAAGCTGGATTGGGAGCTCTTGGAGGAGCAGCCTGGTGTCTAGTTCAGTGTGCGCCCTGTGTTTCTGACACAGTGTGTTTCAAACTGGGGGTGCAAACTCCTTTACTGAATTCAGCTGGACAGAAATAATGATTAGGAGAAGCTAGCCCAGGACAAGCTAAAAAAAAAAAGGCATGCCTTCTATGGAGTCAAATTTTTTTGCATTTTTACAGTATTATAAAAAATTATACCAGGTAAATATTTAGAAAGGATCTTCTACAGATGCCCAGGAAGGCATTTGTGAGAGTGGCGTCAGACCTGAGTCCCCACTTCCCCATGGGCGAAGGTGAGCCGAGGTGTGATCTGACTTGTGGTCTGTATGAGCACAGACAATATGCAGCTCATCAGAACAGGGTCTTATTTCTGCTACATTTAGATTTTTCCTGTCAAAATGTAGTCGGCAGGATGTCTCAGCCATGAAGAGGATCTGATACTCTACTTTGAAGGTGAAAACATATGCCTTAAAAAAATTGCATAAAGCAGCTCTTTCTTCTTAAGACATTAGAGTTGGGTCCTAATGCCTCATTTTGTAGATGAGGAAAATGAAGTACAGACAGTGTGTGACATGCCCAATGTCACACAGCTTGTTAGGGCTGAGACTGGAGTATCACACCCAGGTCTCGGTGGAAACAGGCGTGGGATTCAGACAGATGTGAATTTAGATCTTAGCCCAGTTCTCTACTTAGGCAAGTTAGTACCTGCTCGAGTATCTTTAATTTTCCAGACTCTGTGCCAATCCCCGGAAAGAGAAAAGGATGATAGACTCTGCTCCTCATTTTCCTCATGTGGAAAACAGGGCAATACTGGGGATTAAAGGAGTCAGTGTTTGTCGAATGCGAGCTGAGCGCCCGACACAGAGAGTGTGCTTGGAAACGAAGCTGAGGTAGTTAACCCATGCTGTCTCCTTGCTCATGTAACACACGGGGGCAGAGCCATGCACTCGAGTCTGTGTATTTCCACAACTGTTCACGTCTGTTCACAGGATAGTTACAAGAAACATGGGCTTATTATTTTCAGTAGCCATTTGAAAACCTGGAACCTCTAGCTCCTAAAAATATTTCATCTGAACACGTTCAGCTAACCCTGTTTTCTAAGCCTCAACTACTATTATGAACTTTTCTTTGTTCTGACAGATTTGTTTCCCAAGTATTCCAAAGTTAGCCATTTTAATGGAACAATTCTCAAAAGTTCCTCTAATCAATCAGCTGGTCATCTTGTCATATCTCAAGCCAAACTGTGACATTCCCCCCTAGAAACTATGTCTCAAATAATAAGGAGAATCTTTAACACACCTTAGACTCAAAATCAGGATTTTAACCTCACAGAGTAATTTCTGGAAATATGCCTTTTTCCTAAGCAATCAATTCTAATAGCATTTAAATAGTTGGCACACTGTATATGCTGAGAGAAAGATAAACAAAAAAGGGTGTACATCATTTCAGTTCTAAAAGAAATTTAGTTGTTTTCATTGATTTATTTCATATTCTCAGAAACTAATTTAAAAGAATGCATAACATCAAAACCCACTGACTTAAATCTCCTTATTTAAGATTTTGCTGTGTAGAAATGTTGGGACAACTATGACATAAAACAGACTTCACAAGTAAAATGTAATAAAATATAAGTATTGATTCACAGATATACAGAAGTTCAGATAATTGGGCAAAAGCAGTCTCAAGGTCCTTTTTCTCAGGGATTCCTAGCAGTTTAGTGCTGGGAGTGATGTCTTAGAGACTGTCTAAATTCTGTTCTGTAGTTTGTGAGGACAGAAGGAGAGAAGTGACTTGCCTGAGGTCACAGAGCAGATCAGAGACGAAAAAAGGACTGGAGCTGAGGCCTGTCTGCTCAGCCCGGCTGCAAGGAGAAACACTGCGTGGTGTGCCACTGTCCTAGGGCCGACCTAGTGGGAATGTTACCAAGAAAACGCTGCACGCTGTAGGAGCAGGAAGGCTACACGGGCCCAGGGGTGCTGGGTGAGTTGTCCGTCAGGACAAGAAGGTGCTGGTTAAATAAGGTTTCACTGAGCCGCAGATGGAAATGACAAAGGCAAGAGGGATGATGTAAACAGAGTCACAGGTGTGTGTGCTCCCAAGGGGATTGGAGAAACACAGACTTACTTTCTGGAGGGACCCTATCTTTGTGCGGGCATCCGGACAGACTGCGGTGGTGTGGATAAAGCCCAGTTACGTGACCAGTTCCATCGCACCCTGGGGTTGGACACTTGCTCTCTTTCTTTTCTGCTCTCGAGGGATCTAAAAGCGACAACAGGTGTCAAGAGAATGAATGTTTTACCCATTGAAGACAAATGTGATTATTTAACAATCTGAAGAGACCTCGATAAAGAAAGCAGGTGTCAGGGGGACAGGCTGTGGCATCAGACTTTTGCATAGGTAGTTCTCTGGTTTTGGGTGATTTTTTTGACCTTAAACAGTATAATCATGAATTATAAAATATTTTACTTTCTACACTAAAGAAAAAAAAAGACTATGTCTATCTTAACTCTCGATTAATCATTTTCCCGTGTGTTACATGATAAGCTGTGTTGCTCAAAGAAATCAACATAAATAATGATGAGACAGTGACCTTCTCAGAGAACAAGACACTACCATGATCCTTCAGCAATCGCTCCGTCAAAGCCAATCAGGGAACATCATGCCATTCAAACGAACTTTAGTGGAGTTTCTTTCTTATTGAGTGCTCTGATCATATACATTATAAGCTGCAAAATTTTACTGGTGTTGAAATTTATTCTCTTGCAACATTCTTCCTTAGCATTCCAATTCAGCACTTTTCTGAAAATAAGCTGAACTCTCAGAAGGCACTGTAAGCGAATGACCAAAATGGTGGAAATCCCACCTGACAGAGGTGATGTGCAATCAAAAATGTTTCAGAAGCTGCTGGAGCAACCATTTGTTTGGATTTCTTCATCTGCACTTGGAACCAGAGGAAGGCTCTTTAATGCATTGCATGCATACACGAAATTAAGAGGAAATGGGCTCACAGCCCTGCCTGCTCTCAGCAATACCAGTCGAGGGAGCAGCAGAGTAGAAATTGGGTCAAAACTTGAATGCCAGATGCCAGAAATGCAATGATATTGCTAATAAAATTCTTTCTATGTCCAGAATTGACCACAGTTCATAAAGTTCCAGAAAATATTTCTCAGATAAAGCTCAAACAAAATAGTAATGTAAGGGCACGAAAGACTCTTTTTGAGCCAGTTTTTGAAAACCAGTTGCACAGGTTATCAACAGATAGTGACTACTATGATTTGGTCTAGTGAATGCCATGTTAAAATTTCTTCAGGGGTTTAATATTTTTATATTGTTACCCCATTAATCAGGCCAATCATGGTTGCAAGAAAATACATGTTTCACTTTTGGTTAACAATTCATTTTATAGCAAGAAAAAAAGTTTGGTTTAAAATTTTTTGAACACTTACAGACTTTCTTCTTAAGTCATTCGTGTGAACTTGAAATAGACAAGGGACTCACAGGAATACAGAAAAGCTTTAACGTTATATAAAAAGGCCCCCCTCCTTTATCTTTTTTAGCTAGCATTTTATTCTACACAATGTCTTTCAGGTCTTGGAGTCTCTTAAACCACTGCTGGTGATGAGGGAAATATCTAGATGCAACTGTCAGTTACTTCCTATGATTATTTGTAGGTAATACTCTCTGAAAACAAACCTAAAATTATGTTGCTGTGATTTCAATTCCTCAATATCTTATTGGAGCTTCTCTTAAGCATGCAAACTAAAAGTCTAGCATTTTATTGCCTTTCAAGTAATTTCACAGTAATATTGGTACAAATTAATTAATGCAAATACAAAATAGTAAGTGCACAGTAACAGTTTCAAAGGGAAATATTGATTATTTAAAATCAGAAACTAGAGATACTGTTTAAAATCATAAACTAGATAAAAACGACTTTTAAAGGATAAAAAAATAAATTATTTTTAATCATTAAATGACTTTTTCATTAGGACACTTACAATGATTATTTCACAAATTTTGAAAACGTTCTGAAGTTAAGTACAGATTTGTGTGAAAACAAAGTGGCTCAAACTCTCAGCTTTTGGAAGACGACAAGGGCATAGTCTCCTCTCGATGCATGGGTCCTGGTGGAGGCGGGGCCGCCGGGCGCCTTCACCATCACCTCCCTTGCTATCTTAGTTCTCACAATCCCAGCTCATCCTGAAAACATTCGAGAAAACACAAAGCAGCCAAGCAAACAGGCCAAAAATTCAACTGAAAATCTTGCAACAACATCTATTAGAAAAACTGTGCGCTTGGTTTAGCCTGCTCGCCTTACTCCCTTTCAGGTAGATTCTTAAAGAAGAAAGATAGAGGAGATGCGTGATAAATTTCTTTTGCTTTTGCTCAAGAGTTTGGAAGGGTTACTCATTAATCATTTAAATCATTTTGAGAAGATTGTGTATAAACGAGAAATCATAAGAGTGTTCTCTCCGGCTTTAATAAAACAACAGAGAAGCTGAAAATACAGACTGTTGATCCACTATGTGGTTGTAGGAACTGTCCACTGGCAGTGTTGGTAAGATAGCACATAATTTTTTTTAATAAGGAGGGCATTAATCTCTTTGCCCCACTTTGGTGTCCCTGCTTGGCTTTATTTATTTGGTTCTGAATACAACTACGGACATCTTCAAAGGAAACTTGGGGACGACGTGGAACACATCGATAAGAAACAGAAATGAGCTTTGATCAGAGGAAGAAGCTCTGGAAAAACTGGGGCGAGGCAGAAATGAATGCTTTCCAACTCAGTTGGAGAGTCCAAATCCCCAACCCTTTCCTCATTTCAGGGAAAAAGCACATCTCAGTTTTTACTGTTTGTTCCCACTGCTGCCCCCATTTATTTAGGGGAGGCAAGTGGTTTGAATTCCACTTCTTGCAAAAAACAAAATAAAACAGAAGAACAATAACAAAACAAAATGAGTCAAAATCTACAGAAAGCTGCTGGGTTTAAAGGAACCACAGACACCAAGGAAGCCGCAACACACAGAACCCGCAACGCCAAATGAGCCTGCGGGTGTCCGTGGAAGATCGCTGAGTTTCTCAGTGCTGAGACTCCACCATGAATGCCACTCAACAAAGCCCTGAAACATACGCCTGGCATGTATTTGTCCAACTGAGCAATACTATGAGAAACAATACTGTTGCTTCCTAAAAATGTTTCTATGACTCTCAAATATCCAACTGGAAATTCCTAACAGATTGCACTGTGGTTATAAACATATATGCTATGTTTTGTAGTCTTTACAACATCCAAAGCAGCCTGATGCTCCCTTGAGCTAGCCTCCTTGCCTTGGAGAAACAGCCCCTTCCTCAGATGCCACCCCTCACAGGGTCTAGCCTTCACCTGCATCACTGAGACGACGGTCAGTGCTCAAGCACTTGCCAAATGAAGAGTCCAGAGTGCCTCTGGCTAAGGTTGGTCTCCAACTAATATTTGGTCATCATGGTGCCCAACTTACCATAGGAGTTAGGTGCACACATTGAGAGGAGAATACACACCTATGTCACAACAGAAAAAATAGTTTTTCTGATCGTTTGAAGGTTATACAGCAACTGATTTTCAAACCAAATTCCTGAACCTCATTATCAGATCCGCAGTGAGTAAACTCAGTATTCATCAGGAGTAGAATAACGTGCAAAACAGAAGATCACTTTTGATACTAATATGAAGGGTTTAAGGAATCACCAACTTCATTCTTGAAATTCCTTCTTACTTAGCTTCAAAAGAGTCTTGTAATTGAGATATCCGCAATGGCAAGGTTCTACATGAGGTTAAATTATAATCCACTTTATAGGGAAAGTAGACACTGTTTTTACTACAAACATGAAGCCAATCATCCAGGTTGGAAATATATATATACATATTAGATATATTGACTACAAATGTATATGATTGAATATGTAGACACATGCAAATATGTGCCCACATATTTTATAAGTGAAAATCTGGTTAAAACTATCATATTGGATGGTTTTGAGTGTTTTATAATAAAGTAAGCACCATAACTGTTTCCACAATGGAATGGAATCAGTGTGGGAGAATGAATATACTAAAGAAATTACTATTGATCTCAGCATTGGATACAGCGTGCCTTGCATAGCAAATGGCTCCCATCACTTCCTATCTTAAGATAATTAATGTGCAGTCACTGGCCTTGTCTTATGTTATTGGTCATTCCATTACTGTTCAATTTCTATCAGGGATGTTTTCTGTGGGGGAGGTTTCATCAATAATTGTCCTTTGATGATAATTGTATAAATCATGATGCCACCTACCCATTCCAATTGATAAAAGATGTGCTTCATCCCTGATTGACTAGTTGCTACATACCCCCTTGCCCTCCACATAGATTGTGGTTCATTTATAAGAACACAGGCTCATCCTAATATTGTCTTTTACATGATGTGTTTGTGCTCTAAGTTTATCTTTCCAAGGCATGCAGTTTCCACTGAAATATCATGTTAGTCATCTGCTCTGATAATATGACATGGAGCTGCTTTGTGTATTTCTCAGACAAATATTTTATTTACTGTTCAGAAACATAATCACAAAATATAATTCTGGAATCCATTCTAAGAAATATGCGTTAGGGATATAATTTAGTGTGATGCGTACTTTAATTGTAGACTAAAATTGACATCTTTTAGTCTAATTTTCACAAGGCAACTTACGTTAGGTAGAAATATTACCTTTACCATAGTATGGCTTTTTGACATGGCTGTCACTGGATTTAGGTTTTCTCTCCTCCCCGGGAAGTTGTCGTGGCGACTGCTCCTCATATGATCTCATGTTGTCGCGCCTCCCAGCTTCCATTGCCATCTTCTCCCTCATGGCCTTTGCTCTCTCAGTTTCCAAAGCAATGGCTTTCTCAAGAAGGGTCAAGTTTCCCTTGGTCATGTCAAACACTTCCTCGGACCTGTCCGAGTTCACTGAGGTGGTATCGTCATCTCTTTCATGATACCCATCCTCCTTTGCACAGCTGGAGAAAGTTCTCGATCTGGGACTCAACTGCTCCTCGAGCCTCATCAGGTTCATCATGTCAGAATAGTTCCTGTCAGGTGTTCTTCCTGGGAAGTCATCCTCTTGCCGGACGTGCTGGCGGATGTTCATGTTTTGCTGTTGGTTCCTCTCCTGCGGGTTCGTCTCACTCAGTTTCCTGGCCAGGTCGAAGCACTGATTCCTCAGGCACTCCAAACTGCTCAGACACACCTCCTCATCGCTCTCCTCCACCATTTTTTCCATGAGTCCGTTGTTCATGGGCTTCCCTAACATTACATAATTCATGTTTCTATTATCTTGCTGTGACATAGTGTCTGCATAATTTCTCTCGTTCATGTTTTCGGCGAGAACCACTCCGTGTCCTTGTGCTAATAATTTAAGGGAGTCCACCGTTTCTCTAACGACGTCACTGTCTAAGTCTAGACTTAACTCGCTCTTCCGACCCAGGTTTTCGTTTTTGTCACTATCATCTTCCAGACTATTGGAGGTATTGCTGTTCATTTCTGACTCAGTCCTGGCCCGGTACGCTGCATCCTCGGCAATCTTGCCAAGATTCAACAAGGACTTGGCCACCAGCTCGTCGTAATTGTCATACTCATCATTATTGTTATCATCCTTTTCTGCATCCTGCATTATTCGAGTATTGTGACAATTCATTTGATGGTCTTCTGCAAAGAAAATAAAAAAAGGACAAAAAAGAAAAGAAAAGAAAAAAAATGGCTAGAATTTGAAGTTTAGTTGCAACAGCATGGATAGCAAGTTAACTGTAAGTCAAGCCCTGTTCATTACCTAACGGAACCTTAAGTCCTGCTTGCAGCTCCGCTGACAGTGTCGACATAAAGAAAATGGATTGTGCTAAAAACACAGGAGGCCATTTAAAATGGTTGCTGTAAACTCTTAATTTCTTTAATCTTAAAATAAACCAGTATATAGGGTAAATATATTAATTTTTCATTACTTCCAAATTTTTCTTTATTGGTTTCATTTGTTTACAGCCCAACCAGATGCATAATAATTATATTCATCATATTACTAGGCTTTCTAAGAGTTCATGACCTTTACTCATTGCCAACTCTTAAACAGATGGTCGTAGCAATCGCTTTTAAATTGTTTGTTTTCACAGTGATGCTCAGGCAAGACAGAAGAAAGCCTCAGGTTGTTGAGGAATCACGCAGGGACGCCACCTATGTTGGGCCTTCAGTATCAGAAGCACATATTTGGGCTGAATTAAGAGTTATTTTGAATTTTCTACCTTAGAGACAATTTATCATGATCCACAGTGAAATAACAGGAATGCCATAGTAAAAGTTTAGAAACTAAATCTGATTAACCGTAATTCCTGCATAAGTATCTCAGCAGGTTTGAGAGAGTGGGAGGAAAAAGTACGCAGTGACCAAATGCCTATAACAACCAGTATGGACATGGGCTGTGTGACTGTAACACGTAGAGTACAGCTTTAATTTGCTTTAATTTCCTCCACGTCGAAGCCTAGGGAGATTCTGGTGAGCTAGTGGAAATAATGTGTGAATAAGCATCATATCCAATCTCAAAAAGTATTTAGGAAAACTAGAGCATGTTAAACAAGACCATGTTAAAAATTATGTAGAACCCCTCGGTTTCATCTGAAATGTATCCTATTTGATGCTAAAGGAACATTTGGGATATGCATTTCTCTTCACAATGTTACATAATTGCTACCATATATATTGCAAATATAGATAATAATAAATGGATTCTCAAAGGTATTCTTTCCCCCTCCCTCAGACTGAATTTGGTTAGCTTCATGCCATTTTCACATCTGTGAACCAGAGTAAGAAGAATTTTTAAAGTTTATTAATGAGCTGAAGAAATGAGATATATTAATTAGCAGAAAATACCTGTTGATTAAGAGCTGAGTCAGGATGCCCCCAGTGATTTCTTTATGGATCTCATGCTGTTCCCTCAGAAAAGGCTTTCGTTGGTAAAAAAGGTTTGGACAGCAACATATCAACAGCAGAAAACAACATGCTTGCTAGGTCATACACAGAACCAACAAATTTTTAAAGTCAAACACATCTTTTATTAAAGCAAATCAAATTTGTTATATATTAGTCATAGAGCATCGTTAATTGGAGGAAACAAATGTTGTCCGTCTTCATGATAATCCCTATAGATCAATTTCCTTAGTGCAAGGATACATATATTTCCAAAGAAGGGCAAGAAAAATAGAATCAACGAGTATTGGAAGGGCATCAGAAATACTGTGGAAGCATCCATCTCAAATGTACACCATGCCACTGGCCTAGGGTTTAAGCTTTTAGGAATTGAAGGAATCCTGTTCTAATGAATTTTTGAAAACATAAAAGTTATATTCTCCTCTCAATTTATGCACTTTGATTTTTACATTCCCGGGCTGTGAGAAGCAGCAGCCTCCAGATAACCAGGTTCCATGACCTCCACACAATATCTGGTGACTTTTGACAGCCAGCGCCACTGTCCCTACACATGAGACGGATTTCTAAGTTATGGTTTGAAAATAGGAAAGCACATGCCACATCTTGAAGCATTTTGAAAGTTGAGTCAAAGAAGAAAACACAGTCAGGTAAGATTTATTGTTTTGACGATTTTCTCTTAACTTTCTCTTGTGAAACTCATCTTGTCATCCCAAAGACCTTGGAAAAGGAAGAAATTAGTGAAAGTGGTGAACAAGGAAAGAGAACGTGTGTGTCATCTCCTTGTTCCTTCTAAACCCACAACAAGGCTGCACATGGAATTTGACAGGTATCCACGTTTTATGAAACTCTTTGCCTTTCTACCAGACTTGTTATAGACATGATTCTAGTTAACTCTCCACGTTCTAAACCTTGGGATTATCTTCAGTTCATTTGTTCCAGGTAGGAAATGGTTTTTCCTGTTATTTTTGAGCTTCCCAACAGCTCCTACGTTCGCCTCTGTGTCCCATAATTAAGGAACACGTCTTGCTTTTTGATCACCAGAAACCTATTCATCTTGTCCCTTGATTCATAAGCTACCTTCCTCTAAAAGAGACTAAAACAAAGATGGACATGCTTCTCCACACAGCCTCACTGCCACAGAGGGGGGAGGCTGAGAAGAAGCTGAGGTGGGGTCCCTTTACCATCTGAAAACCGGGAGAGCAAGGCCACTTCCAACATACCCTCCTGCTTTGGATTCTAGTAGCAGTACAGCAAGAGAGGACGTGCACACAGCTTTTGTAGTTATCTCAGAATGCAAATGAAAGTAGAAGTCAGATAACCCAGTCTTGTCACTCTTTTGCTGTTTACCAGTTGCATGATGCTAGTGACCTAGGCCTGGCCCCTTTCAGAGACCTCCTACAGGAATCGTGTGACTAGGATGTGCCATGTAAAGACCGCACATGGTGAAAGCAGTCTGTGCACGTGGGGGCTAGTCCCATCATGGGGGGATTGGCCCATGGAGCAGATGATGGGGGAAATCAGCCTATTTGTAGAAGAAATTTGGAACAGGCAGGGCAAATGTATTAACATTTGACTACATAGTCTCCTGCAAGGGTTGGCTCTCCTTCCAGGTTACCAATGTTCAGTGTTGTCTGAGGCTGCATGACCTTCACAGTAACTGTGGGAACTGCTGGTGAAATGGCATGAGTGGCCAAAATTCCTGGTAGGTTGATGGAATGTCTCAAGTTACCAGTATTTAACTGTTTCAAAACACATGTGAAATAAAAAGTCAATTCTTAGTCATATGGACTGAGGGAAGGGAACAGTCAATCAAGCCGTCAACAAGCAGGTTCTAAATATCCACCGTGCATCAGCCTCCTCCAGAATTCAAAATCACCTACAGTGAGCTTTCAGAACTCCATCTCTGCTTTTGTGTTTTCAGGAAACTTACCCATCTAGTTATGTTTTGCTGAGGCTAATAATAAAATGGACCATATGTGGAATCGGGCCATGGGAAATGGACCAGAATTTTCTGGCCAGTCAGGAATTAACAATGTGGTACCAACAGTCCACAGACTAAATATTCCAGCCACAAGAGATAAAGGAGTCAATTGGACTAGTTCTTGACATGATCAGTGTTCTATCAAATAGGCAGAATGCACTTGTGATGAAATAAAGCATTTTACCAGAAAATTATTTTAAAGTACAGGTTCACATTTTAAATAGAAGAGCACAGCAATTTAGATAGAGGTTTAAAGAGACCAAAGGACCTCAGCTTTCTTTTTGTGGTTTTCTATTCCAAGCCTGTGCTCTGGTAAAGCTGCATGGTGGCAGACATGAGAAGGAGTCACCTCTGGTAGGGGACGGCCCAGGGGTTCACCATCGGGTGAACTCAGAGAAGTTTCATGCCGAATGGAGAATTCCAGATGACCTGGTCCAGGAACTTCCTGATGAGGAAATTGAGCCCAGAAAGCAGAGGTGCCTCAGTGGCTAAGTCCCTGTGCCCTTCTGACATTCCCATCAGCCAACTACTAACCTCATTTTTGCTGCTATTACGTGTGTAGTTTTGATTCTTAGGTGAGCTTTATGAAAAGTTGTAGGTCTCAATTTTATCTCCTTTGAGTCAGATTGTTATGGACAATTTATGCTCAATAGTTACAATTAGAAAACCAAAAGAATTTCTTAAACAAAAAAAAAATGTAGTCAGGGAGGATGTTTTTCCTTTACCTTCAGGACTAAAGCGTGATGTGGTTACAACTCTGTGGCTTATAACTTTATAAATATAAGCACCGGCTTTTTAGTGCTTTGTCTTTAAAAAGTATGTCTGAGACCCAACTTTTGTTTCCTTCACTATCAGTCCTGATTGTGTTCCTACTCTTCTTTCTAGCCACCAAAATAGGCCACGGGCAAGCAAATACACAACTTACTTTTAAAAAACATAGTGGAACAAACAGATAGAGGAGACGCTACTACTTGGAATCACTCTAGACTTTACTGGGTCACAGGAGATGGGGTCTGAGTCCAAGGCTTTCCGAGTAATGAAAGGTCACCACTCAAATGGCATTAGATGGGTGTTTCCTTTTTGATTATAGAGATAAATGAATATCAAAATTCATTTTTGACTTGAAAATACAGAAATGTGATAATATATAAGATTCTAATAAAAAGACGATGGTGTTTTAACAGCCTTTGTAACCATAGGAAAGAAGAAAAAGTGGCAATGATTCCGTATACCATATCGCATGGATAGTGCAGCACATACCCTCCTGTCTTGACTATGCGAAATTAGTGAGCATGGGAAAACAGCCGACACAGTCTCCTGGCACATGGCTGTTTGTCCTCACTTTGTGACCCCAGTGACCCTATGAGAGAGGCGCGAAGCACTTACTGTTCCCTCTTAGAGAAGATGGTACAGAGCCCCAGAGAGGTGAAGGACTTCACCATCTCACACTGGTAAGTGACAGAGCGGGAATGCCCTCCCGGGATTCTGGGCACAGTGCTGCCTCTATTTCAACAGCACCCAGACCTCCATTGTTCTCATGGACAAGGAACCCAGAGGCTCCTTCCAGACTAGTTCCAGCTAGACCTCTAGCTGTTCATTGCTTCCCACCTGATTCACACACGATTCCCACCTGCCTACCATGCAGAAGGTGGTGGCTGTTTTTCACGTTCATCTTGCACCTTGGTTTGTATGATTTGAGGATTTAGTTGTAACATCAGCCATTGAAACTTCTGCTGGGATTGTTAGCTTAGCC